ACAAAAAAATTTCATATATATACGATTGTACAGCATGATAATAGAAATTCGTTCAAAACAGATCTTTCCACTGAACCAAGTTTTTTTTTTAAATTTTTGAACATATTAAATGTCATTGTTTAAGAAACTCCGACTGTAACCTACAAAATATTGATAAGCTTTGGATCCGCGAGGTGAGGTCGTGGATAAGCCCTGCTGAGGAGTCCCACAATAGAACGAAACGGCCATCTAGTGATTTCAGGTTTTCCATGATGGTCTAGCTTCAATTGACTCATGATCTCAACTAGTGAAATTACTACAATCTCTACAAAACCCCTACTGATATATTGATGTATACATTTTACTCATTTGTTTTATTAACAATATACAATTAACATAGAATAGATTTACATATATTCTATTCCCATTACTTTTTTTTATAGTGTAACGTCTTTGTGTTTACGTAACTTATACTTCAGCATTCGTATGTATATAGATACATTTATTTTTGTTAACGAATATACAAATAATCATTGTATTTGTGTAAATTATTTATTAGCCTGTAATAAACAGAACATTAAAAATTATAAATAGATTTTAACAGTATTACATTTATGATCACTAAAACACGTGGCAATGTAGTTTCTATAATTATAGTCATTATGTTATGAGAAATTTATACCAGCTGACAACAAAAATACTTTCATCTTTTGTTGTTTTTTTCTTTATAAAGTGAATATGCGTGATTCTCAAACATTTTAAATTGCCGTGATAAATAAACAGTAATCTTCAGTAAATTGTTAATGATTATTATCACTAATTGTTTGTTTTTGAGAAAAAACACCCTCGATGGTTGAACTCATGAGTCAATTGGAGCTAGACCACCATGGAAAACCTGGAAGCATTGGACGGCCGTTTTGTCCCAGTATGGGACTCCTCAGTAGTGCACATTCACGATCTAGTGAGAAGTCGTTACCAATGGAGTTCAACCAGGTCTATTGTGAGATAGTAGTTCACTGAAGACAATGGCGTATGGTGGCGCAACTTCTTGGATTGGTTGAAGTTAGACATTAACACCGTTGAATGCCGGCTCAGTGGTCTAGTTGGTTAAGCGCCTGGCGTGAGACTGATAGGTCCTGTGTTCGAATCTCGCAGGGTGCGCGATCATCGATGCGCACTGATGAGGAGTCCGATACTAGGAAGAAACGGCCGTCCAGTGATTCCAGGTTTTCCATGATGGTCTAGCTTCACTTGACTCATGATTTCAACCTGTGAAATTTCTAAAAATCTCCACAAAACCCATTCTGATAATAATAAAAAGAAACCTATTAAAAATCTAGTTGATTTGTGTTAGAAAATTGGAGATTAGATCACTTTCAGACTAACTTTCATCATACAACAAAATCATCTTCAAAACCTTCAAAAAACAATAAACAGTAAATGAGTTATTTTTCTAGAAACTGTAATACTCTTCACCAATTTTAGCTTATAGCTATACATTATTATTTTTCTAGAATGAAAGATACTTTTTTTAAGCTAAACAAATCTAGAAAAAAAACTCGTCTTTCTTTCCAGATAATGTTTAGTTGTGGAATTGTGATAGAATTCATAAAATTCTTAAAGTACATTCTGGAAACCACTGCTAGCCACTATCTATGATTGTGACTTCAAGGAAATATTGAAACATTCTATACTGGATGAATATACCACAAATGAGAATGATGTATTGTAGTTTATTAACAATAGAGACAAAAAATTTTAACAAGAGAACCATCTCTCTTATTTAACTTTCTTATCATATAAACATTTTCAACATAATTTCTTAGTTATAGCAGCATACAACTAAAGAATATATGGCACTCAAAACAACTGTCAACCAATATCAAAGTTAGAATGTTTATTACGAACATCGGGAACGTTCTACTGTACGGAGCTGAAACGTGGAAAACTACTACAGCCATTACCGATGATGATAAAAGTATTTATAAATAGTTGTCTACGCAAGATAAAATTCATTGGCCGGATAGCATCAGTAACAGTCTACTGTGGAAGAAAATAAACCAGATTCCATTTGAAGAGAAAATTAGTAAAATATTATGGAAATCGGAAGGACATACATTACGCAAATCATCACACTGCATCATGAGGTAAGCCCTAACATGGAATCCTAAAAACAACAACAATAGCAACAACACTAAACAACTGGACTACATTATTCTTACAATAAATTCTTATTCAAATGGAATAATAATAAAGTAATCGAGGTTTTTTCTATAAAAAAAACTTTACAAAAAGAAAAATAATATGGCACTACAAAACAAAACAAGAAATGAATTAAATCGATAGATCAATTAACTGATGGATATTTTTCAAATTTTATTAAAAAAATACAAAAAATAGAAAACAAATTGGGTATTAAATTAAAATACACTAGTAACAAAGAATGAAAATGTGACAGGATAAAGATATTTAAAATAAAGATATACGAAAGAAAAAAAAGAACCTTTAAAATATAAACTAATTCTAGGAATAGATTCTCTTTTATCTCTTTTATCTATCATTGAAAACTCTTATTTCGGTGAATTGGTGCCTCCATTTGCCTGATGATAACTACATTTTGTTGTAGATGTCGATTGATTAAACAGAATTTATTTTTAATATTTCGATTCTATATGGTACACCAAAAACCAAATGAATTACCTCACTACAATCTTACTCATTTATTAAACTTATTACCTTTTTGTACATCGATATTATCGATTTTCTGTTTCATTATTTATTAATGATTACTTACTTACTTACTTACTTACGCCTGTAACTCCTCGTGAAGGAGCATACGCCGCTCACCAGCATTCTCCATCAAACCCTGTCCTGGACAATCCTTTCCAGCTCCTTCTAGTTCCTATTCATCTTTTTCATATCTGCTTCTATTATCTGACGTAATGTGTTCTTAGGCCTTGCTCTTTTCCGTTTCCCTTCAGGATTCCAAGTTAGGGCTTGTCTTGTGATGCAGTTTGATGATTTGCGTAATGTATGTCCTATCCATTTCTATCGTCGTTTCTGAATTTCCTCTTCAGCTCAAAGCTGGTTTGTTCTCTCCCACAAAAGGCTGTTGCTGATGGTATCCGGCCAACGGATGTTGAGTATCTTGCGAAAACAGTTATTTATAAATACTTGTACCTTCTTGATGGTGGTTGTTGTAGTTCTCCAAGTTTCAGCTCCATACAGTAGAACTGCCTTGACGTTGGTATTGAAGATTCTCACTTTGATATTGGTTGAAAGTTGTTTTGAGTTTCATATGTTCTTCAATTGTAGGAATGCGACCCTTGCTTTGCCAATCCTTGCATTTACGTCTGCATTTGAACCTCCTTGTTCATCGATGATGCTTCCCAGGTATGTTAAGGAATCTGCATCTTCCAGAGTTTCGCCATCAAGAGTGATTGGATTGCTGTTCTCCACCTTGAATTTGAATACCTTGGTTTTCCCTTTGTGTATGCTGAGGCCTACTGATGCAGAGACTGCTGCCACACTGGCTGTCTTTGTCTGCATCTGTTCGTGTGTATGCGATAGGAGGGCCAGGTCATCTGCGAAGTCCAAATCGTATAATTGATTTTAAGATGCCCATTGTATTCCGTGTTTTCCTTCAGATGTCAAGGTCTTCATAATCCAGTCGACCACCAGAATAACGAGTCAGTCAAAGCTAGACCACCATGGAAAACCAGGAAGCACGGGACGGCTGTTTCGTCCTATTACGGGACTCCTGATACTTCCTGATACTCTTTTTTGTATACAATCAAATTGAATATCAGTCATTTGTTAGTTTCGTTAATTGTTTCTAATAGTTAACATTGGATATCTATTGTTAGATGTGAAAATATCATTTTGTTTGTTTGTTTTACCTAAAGAAATAAATCAATTTAAGGCATTCGTAATTCACTTTATTATTACATTAAAGATGGCGGCCTGCTTGAATATCTGGGCTACCTGTTCCTCCGATCTAGATATTTCATCAAGTTATCTGTTTTGTTGTTTGTTTTAGCACACCATTATGTCTATTGTGCGCGCAATCTATTCAGACACGTTTATGAAAAGTTTACCACCTTTCGCTATACGGGATACAAAAAGGTACAATCAGCGACATCATGGTGGCTGGCAATATGCATTGAAACGAATGAACAGTAATCAAATGTGGATTACCGAACTCCTAACATCTAAACAGTCATCATTCAAAATTTATCATCACAATCGATCAAGATATAAGAAAAGGAAACTTGTTGAAATATTTTATGCTGAGAATTCTATGTTGTACCAAAAATATAATGTTGAATAAAGCTAATAATAATAATAATAATAATAATAATAATAATAATTTCTCTTTAACTAGCATCTATCGCCTTATGTTTACGTTATTATTCCTCATATTTTAGCTTTCGAAAAAATCGATATATATATTATCTACATTGGATCTAATTGTAAACACTACCAATAACGAATACAAGTACTACTAAATACAATAACCATGATTTTTTAAAATAATCCCTTTTTAAAAAAAAACGTTTTGTTATAACAATGAGAAAACAGACTTAATACTTGAACAAGTACATCTATGACAAAATTATTCGAAATGTACAGTGTAAATACATCACTTTGTCTTCTCATTGTGTTTGATTAAGATCATGATTTTGATAACTTTATTCATTTGATATTATCTTTAATCTATTGATAAATATATACCATTTACTATTGAAGTAGAATATGTCTTATTGATAAGGTTCAAGAAGTTAATTAAGTTATGTAAATACCTTATATCTTATTAATTGGATGAAAAGAATACATTTAAACTAATCAGTAAAATAGTTGATAAAAGAACCAATGCATTATAATTCGTATATTTTGACTGGCAACTAATTATATTGGCTAAAGTCGTGATTTAAAATTATTTATTTATCATTATCATTATTATTTAAGTGTTTCATTATGTTTTAATCAAAGTAATAAAAAACAAAAAAAAAACAACTTACGAACTTCCAAATAAAGACGATGTTGATCAACCCATTGTTCACCACCAAATCCAACATAAGCTGAACTATGGCATGTATAAACACCAGCATCATTCATTGTTACATTAGGTATAACATACAGTTTACTGTATCCTAATATATTACCTTCAGGATGTTCCCATCTATATTGTACTTGTCTTGGATTTACCTCTGGTGGTAAATTCACTGAACAATTTAATACTACTTTACGTCCAAGTAGAACAATCCATCGACGTACATGACTTGGTTGAGTTGGTTGAATTATCCCATGATAACGTAAATAATTATTACCATGATACATTTGACGGCCATTTTGACAAGAAACAATAATTAATAGAATTGTTTGTAGAATTAATAATTTGATAAAAGATGTCATAGTTACAAATATAGCTACTATGAATTATATATTTTTAATCTTTGTTTATGACAAGTAATCGTCCTTATTAGTTTTACTGACTGTAAACTTTAGTGTACGATTTTTTTTTCGGAAGGCAAATAAATAGTTAGAAAACACTTTATAATAGACAGAAACCGGCCGGTATTCTGATACCGTACAATTATTTACTTAAATTAGATGGACGTATAAACACACGAATTTGAGGTTTTTTTCATAAAATGATTGTGCATAGAAACACATATTCCGCACAGGCACACAATTACATATACTAACAAAGAAATAAACAAGAGGATATGTATATTTAGCACATAATTCACTACTTATTCGAATAACCTACGCATTTTTCTTGCCCAATAAAGAAAATAATGTACACTACAAAAAGTACAGTTTATCATGTGAGTATGATGTTTTGTAATAAAATAAAGTTATAAGATGAATATAATTACAAATACGGAAACTCTAATAAGTGGACAAATGAAATAGTGTAAATGTGAAAATTTGATGGTAGATAAAGCAGAAATGAGAATAATCATAATGTGTATTTTCAAATATGAGTATATCTGAACAGTTATTATAATTTAGCTTTGATGATGATATACAGGAATATTTGAAACTAGATCTGGTCTTAAACTAATATCGGTTGATGAAACTAAAACTTCCCACTAAATCCTAGATTTCAATGTATTTTCAACTAATGTTCATTCATAAAAATACTTGCACTCACGTTGAATTGAAATCTAATTGTAATGTCGGTTACTATGTTAAGGCCACATATCGTATTCTAGCTTTCGGACAGACCCGTTTATTGATACTTCTTGAATCACGTTTTGACCTTCTTAATTATTCACTTATCAAACCTGCAAGTTTTTATATGAGCGTATTTGTGTGTATATCTTGTCCTACTCATCACATTCCTGTAGCTTAATTTTAGCTGACTATACATATTGAGCTACTCTTAGTTAAAGGGAGTTGGTTCACACAACTTCTCCACGGTGGATTGTTTCATTTCGCTTCATTCCTTTGATCCTCCGGCTGGATCAATGTTTGTACAAAATATACATATTCGAAATCCTTTCTCGTACTTGGCTTATTTTAATTCCGTTATTCACTAACACCAGTTAGGTCGATAATCATATACGAGGACAATCAGGATGTATATTCTGACAACAGTCATTCATACAAACTGATTGAAGTCAGATATAGGGCCACTAAATATTAAACCGTTATAGTTATGAATAAATTTAAGATAAATAAATTATTATACATTACGTAACTTCAGTTGTTTTGTAGTTAGAATACGATAATTGAAATGAAAATGTGGTATGTGCTACTTATATTGACATAAGTAGTATATGATTTTAGTCGTAAACAGAAGGTCTGGCAGCAGAGAGACAAGAGGATCGAACAGTAAAGAATGAAAACAGGATGCGATTTGTATGAAAATCCAAGAACAATGAAGTCTGAGCCATTTTGAGACAATCAATGAACATTTTGCAAATTAAGCATTTACTTTATGATTGTTAGATTTTATTAACAAGTCATGTAATTTTGTGTTTAATATGGCCGATTGTTCCCCATCCGTGTTCTGTCCTCTAGAAATGAGTTAAAGAATTGGGTTAGTGAATCCATCATGTATAAGTACACAAACTGGTTTTCATTCAGTCATTGAAATCTCTTTTTATTATGTATTTCAATTAACATGCATAAAAGATGGATTTTAAAAAACCCAGTTAAGTATATTCTAAAAATTTATTCGTCAACTACTGGTGTATACTAGAGTAGATTATGATAAATCATATCTAAATATGATCTATAAAGACCTGCAGATCACCAACGTAGACGACCCCTGTTGAATGATTAGAGGCCTGCCCGAATCAGACGGGAATGGTGTGACCAACAGCTAACGTCGAAGTCACACTTTGAGGTCAGCACACAACGTGGATTACACCTTGGTCGTATATCAAGGTACCGTGGATACTTTGAAGACCGTACAACATAAAGGAAGTTCTTACAGAAATGTAGTATTTAAAGTGTGACCACCACTGCATGGTTCAGTCCACGGCGTATAATCAACTGCTGCGCGTAAGTTGTCCTTGACGTAAACGGAGATTGATGAACTGTTCGATATTCAGTGACCTAACTGCCAGATGATTTGGCTAGGGCTCAATGACATTTCACTGGCCCTATAGACCTACATTTTGGTCGCTTAGTTAATCGGATTCAACTGTAAGCTAAATATGAATAACATATAAATAAATGTAATGACATGTTAGGTTGTTAACAATTAACGAGATGAAGTTCTATTATTTTAAGTAACTATCAGTTAGTATTTATTAACTAATCAGTGATTACTGAAGAAAAAAAACTTTTTAGCTTCTTACATAATTCCATTAATGTCAATATTTTTTAGCTTTCAAAAAGAAATGAATAATGGCAATTAATCGTTGCTTTTTTTAAAGTTACTTGACTATTCAATTATGTAAGTTTCATCTTCATCCATGATCGATATTTTCACAGTCACTAATTAGCGTTCATTTAACTAAAGAAAAATAGATTCATATTTCTGTAATGATAATAATATAAATGTCAATAGTTTAGATGAGAATGTAAAGTGTACATTTCCAATCAGACAGTTAGAACTTAATCAATTATCACAGATTGAAATCATGAGTCAATTGAAGCTAGACCACCATGGAAAACCTGGAAGCACTGGACGGCTTTTCGTCCAAGTATGGGACTCCTCAGCAGTGCGCGCCCACGATCTAGTGAGAAGTCGTTACCAGTGGAGTTCAGCCGGGTCTGTTGTGAGACAGTAACTCACTGAAGACAATGGTATATGGTGGCACAACTTCGTGGATAGGTTGAAGTTAGACATTAACACCGTTGAATGCCGGCTCAGTGGTCCAATGATTAAGTGCTCGCGCGCGGAGCCAGTAGGTCCTGGGTTCGAGCCCCGCGTTGTGCGGGATCGTGGGCGCGCACTGCTGAGGAGTCCCATACTTGGACGAAAAGCCGTCCAGTGCTTCCAGGTTTTCCATGGTGGTCTAGCTTCAACTGACTCCTGATTTAAATCTGTGAAAATTTCTAAAATCTCCACAAACCCCTTCTGATATTAATCAATTATGTTTTTATTTTTTATTCAAACACATAAACATTCGTACAACGAGATACCAAATAGAAATGCGCTACATAAATCATTCGATTTGTGTGAGGGTTGGGATACTGGCCAGGTACTCAAAACGAACCAGGTGGTTTTCTTAGGGGACCACACACGGAGCCCTCAACCTAAAAATATGATCCACAAGCCAGTGCAGCAATGTCATGAGATGCAGTCCCATGGTAATCAGTGACCAACCATTGGTTCATACGCCATTTGTTTCTTCAGGATACTGGAGCCTATGTGCACTATTGGTTTAAAATCAGGGTTTTCCAACTTCCCTAGGTGGACTTTTAGTTTCCATTAACTCGGTTAAAACACCGGACATTCGCTTTCAATCCTCTCATTTCGCAAACTACAGTTATGCCGCTAGAGGGCAGTGAGTAGGAATTCTCTGGCAGTGGTCTTTTGCACTTGGCCATGTGTGAGCATTTTTAGAGGGACAGCTGTCTCTCTTCATTCTCGGTCGTACCAGGGCATTTGGGGGCAATGAAATATATAGTACATAGGCTCTAATTATATGAAACACTATTATGTTTAGTATATTGAGGCTTATTTTTACGGTTAAATACTATTTATTTATATTGTAATGGTAAATAAATTCCCAAAATAAATAGCTCTATAAGTTTTCGACATTGGATGCTGACCACATTAGCTGAAGGCTCTCGGTCATGCATCCACGCCGTGCTCAACAACCCCTGCAATCGCTAGCCAGCTTAGATCAGACGATTCTCGATAAATTGATAGTCTATCAAATATATACTCGAACCTTCTTGCTTCTGTCTTTTGATTTCACTTGGTGGGTACGATTCATATTAGAAGGTGTTACTGGTTAAAACGTTTTCAAACTCCGAATACCTTTGACATCTTCAATATCTAGTTTTTTATCACTACATATAACAAATGAATCAATGTGTAAGTACAAATGGATGTGTAAACGTTATTGATTATATTACAGTAAAATCGAACAAAATGTTAATGATCATACACAAGATGATCTGTTACAATGTGTAAATCACCAATAATATCAATATAACTATCATATAGTTACACATTATCTATCATAATGTTCTTTTATTTAAAAACAAACAAACAATAACTTGCGAAAAAAGAATGACTTTAACCATATTTTGTTTTTCTTTTAGTGAATTTATGGTAAGAAACAAGGGTAATAAGAAGAACAAACAAAAATTCCTCAAACAAAAATACTATTATCAATTGTTACAAATTGTTAGAATTCCAAGTTACTTTTACATACTACTGATTGTAACCAATTTTAGAATAAATAGATAATGTTGTATTTTGGGAAACAAACAAAAGTGTAAATCCAATAATCGCTTTTAAATGTAAGGTATAAAATAATAATAATAATAATAATAATAATAATAATAATAGTAATAATAATAATAATAATAATAATAATAATAATAATAATAATAATGGTTACCACCACCATCGTTATTATTATTATTACTATTGCTATTATTGGTATTATTATTATTACTGTCATTACCATTGTTTATTATCAAATAAAATAGTTTGACTCCATTCTAAAAACGTAATTCATCTTTATGTTACAAATTTTTTTTACTTTTCACCTCATAGTGATTATAATTGATACATGATCATCTGATAGTACACACTAAAAAAAGGAAAAGAAAAGAAATAACATTCATATGTTACATAATATTGTATGAATAGAATATAAATAAAATTACTTAACTCATTAAGTAATTAAAGGAATGTTTATCAATTTAATTGAACAATTATTTTGTTTGTATGAATTCATGTGCTTTAGTTGTTTGTTTTTTTAAGTTAAATGTATAACTGTTGAATGTTTTACTGTTTCTTTTGAATATTTTAATTTTAAAGAGAACAAGAACAAAGATTGGTTCAGATTAATATGAATTCATCTTATTTCGTTAGGTTCTCATCAGTTGCTTACAATCTAAAATACTTAAAATGCAATATTATTACAGATATTGACATTTTT